TTTTTTTTTTTTTTTTTTTCCCCACAGTGACTGTTATAACCACACTATGCCTCTTTTTGTGTGACCACATGCTCTTATTTGACCACTTTCAGACTTTGGATTCCAATTTGAAACACAGAGAAACACTGCAACCTCAATTGGAAGATTCCATGCAAAGTAGACCATGTACTTGTAGTCATCCATCCACACTTCGGCTACCCGCAAGGCGTTGCGTTTCATTGCAATGCTCAAGTCTGGCAAGTAAGGCTTGTGAGCTCTTTCCAAATGAGCGATTCTTGAACAGGGCAGCACTTCTACTTTACCTCCACACTGCCAGGCCTAGGTCAAGAAGAAAGAATTTGAGGTAAAGTTGCCTATTTATTCAACGAAGCTGGTGAAGGGCCTGGAGCACAAGTCTTATGAGGAGCGGCTGAGGGAACTGGGGCTGTTTAGCCTGGAGAAGAGGAGGCTGAGGGGAGACCTCATCGCGCTCTACAACTACCTGAAAGGAGGTTGTAGCGAGGTGGGGGTTGGTCTCTTCTGCCAAGTAACAAGCGATAGGACGAGAGGAAATGGCCTCAAGTTGCGCCAGGGGAGGTTTAGACTGGACATTAGGAAAAACTTCTTCACTGAAAGAGTGGTCAGGCCTTGGAACAGGCTGCCCAGGGAAGTGGTTGAGTCACCATCCCTGGAAGTATTTAAAAGACGTGTAGATGAGGCGCTTAGGGGCATGGTTTAGTGGGCATGGTGGTGTTGGGTTAACGGTTGGACTTGATGATCTTAGAGGTCTTTTCCAACCTTAATGATTCTATGATTCTATGATTCTAAACTCTTTGCACTTTTTGTTAAAGTGCTCCCATTTCTGCTCCCCCCACTCCTTCACCAGAGGAACTGGCAGGCCCTCAACATTCAAAGCTCTATTTCCTGGCTTGAGTGAATGAAAAGAATTTTTCAATACCTTTCATTTCTGCTGTGTGCAGCTCTATCACAGGTCCAGGAGAGGAAAGGCATGTTCTTTCTTCTTTTTCTTTGCCATCACCATTAACAAAACTACTCACCAGTTTCCTGTGACAAGGCACTCAGACCAATTGGCATAGATACGCTAAGGCAAACTGGTACATACCTCCAACTGATCTCACTAGGAGCTAGACTGCTAAATACTGTGGTGGTTATGGGCCTGAATCCTTCAGAAGCAGTGACATTGCCCAGGACATGCCAAGAGCAAAACTGGTCCTGCAAAATCTTACACACCAGGGAGAATTCAAGAGAAAGAAAAAATCAAGTGGATTCCTGGAAAATATCTACATGGAATTCAAAGAGATACCTAGGCAGGCCACAACCAATGCTTCAAAAGTACCGAAGGTCCAGAACAATCACACCCGAACTGACTATACATGAACCAGTGTAAGTATGGAAGCTCTTCAAAAGGCAAGCAGCTATGCAGAACTGAACTCAAGCTGGCAAGTCCACATGGTGCTGCACAATGCAGATTTATTGTACTAGTTTAGGGACCACCACATAATGCTCCACTGTGTGCTATAGACTTCTTTCACATCTTCGCATTAAATTTTCCAGGGCTGGCAGCTGGCTAAAGAAAAACATAAGAGGCTGCCTGCTTGCTAACCAAGCACATTTGACACAAGAAACTCTCAAAATGGAAATAAACAGAGACCTTTAATACTATTTTTACAGTCAATTTTCAGAGCAGCTTTGTGTTTCAATTGAACTGATTCTCCATTGTTTTCACCTCCAGCATTTGTGTAAATGACTACAGACATATATTGCCTCCACTGTGAATGGTGCAGGGCAATAAAGAATAAAGTGTAAATGTATTTTCAAGCAACAGAACTGAAATATTAATTCACAATCTGCCTCACATGTCATGAGGTGATGACATGTGACATTTCAATCTTACAGAATCTGAAGCATGGGGTCTTTGACCACGTCCACCACGAGTACTGGAGAAACGTGTCAACATCTCCAATATAGTATCAACCCAAGTTAGTACATCCATGTGACTCAGAGTGGTGCCTCACACACGGGGGCTTTGTTTAACATGTTCGGAAGACTGTTGCTATATTTCCTCTGGATCGCCTCTTCTACAAATCAAAAAACCTCATTTAGGCCTATCTCTGCTATAATGTCACATATTGCAGGAACTCTATTTGTTCTCTTTCCTTTCCTTCAGAGTCTTCAATTGCTCCACATTTTTCCTGATGTGGAAATCTTTCCTGATGTGGAAAGTTTCCAGAGTTTTTGAGTTTCCGGAACTCAAAACACAACTCCAGAAGAGAACTTAGCAGTAGAAGAGAAGGATCATCAATCCCATCCTTTCCCATCCAGCTGCATGGCCATGTTGACCCATACAAAGCCTGTTACTCCCAGTCCTTTTCTAGCTGGATGTTCCCCAACGTGCACCTCTGTAGCTGTTTATTTCTCATGTTTCTCCTAATTACTGCTGTTTTTCTTCTTTGCTCAAAGCATGCTACCCTGTTATAGAAAAAAACCCTAGATTCGTTTGACATTATTTGTTCAGACAAATGTATATTGTCTGTATTATCTTTTATGTGTTTACTAATAGATACCAGAACAAAAAAGAGAAAGCTGTAAGAACATGAGAAAATGCCCATACTGGACCAACGGTCCATCTAGCCTAATTTTCTGTATCTTGCAGTGACTGCAAACTTATTCCTGGGGAAGGTTAAGAACAAGACAAGTACATATGTTACCTCTCACAGCCCCCAGTTACTTTCAGGTCAGGGGACTTTCTGCATATTCCTGTGATTCACTTTTGTTTACTAACTCTGAGTAGGTTTTTCTTCTATAACTGTTCAGTTCCCCCACAAATGGCTGCAAGTTTTTAAAACCCACAATACTCTTTGGAAGGAGCTCTGCTCCTGGTCTGTTGGTCTGGTCTGCTACTGGAAGAATCATCCTCATGTTCATTTTGAAACGCATTACTAACTTCTTTCAAAGCCCCCTAGTTTTCATATTTACAGAGAAAGAGAATAATCAAACCCTTTTTTCCTAGACATTTAAATCTTGCTAACAGGTTTATAATTCTCAGGTTCTACGATCCTTTCTCTTCTTTATAGAGATAAGCTCTGTATTCACTTTTTTTCTTCTCAGGTCTTCTAGAATATCTCCAACCACTATTGCTTTTAAGAAATACTCATCAATAGAATTTTTAGTGCTCTCACATGTTCCCTAATAACTGAAGACACTCCAGATAAAACTATTCTGGGAAAAAAAAAGCCTCCATTCCTGATTTGAAGACATTCAAAGTTGAAGAACATATTACTTTCTAGGGCAGACAGACTTCTTTCTGGGTTTGTTTTGGGTTTTTTTGTTTGGTTTTTTTTTTGGTTGGTTGGTTGGTTTTTTTCTTCCTAATACATAACTTCATTTAACTTGATCTTATCTTATCCTTTTGCTGAGCCAAGAGACATCATATACCTTAAATTTCTGCAAAGTACCACATCTTGCGAAATTCAGTATTCCCTCACTGACCTAGGTTTTTGTGTCAGGAGTCAAAATCCTTAAGAAGTGTCAACAAAAGCCTGTTGATGAGCCTTAAACACTTTTGGAAATCTATCACTTCTCTTTGCTACCCAATATAAAACAGAATTGTTCTGAAATATTAACCCATGCTTTGGACAACAACCAGCAGCCTGAGTGCTTTCAAAAAAAAATCACATACTAATTTTCACTGTCTTTCAGAAAAAGATGAAAAAATAGGCTTACCCTCAGGCCAAGTTCCACATTTTCTCCTCCATATATGTGCATTCCACTGTCCAGTATACCAATCTCACCCAGAAATTTCCTATCTGCAGCAAGAATCCCCATTATAGACGGGCTCCTGGAGAACCAAACAAGTAAAATTAGAAAGAAGTAACAATGATGGAAATAAAGTCAAGTCAATTAGCCACCAATCACATCTTGAACTTCCAGAAGGATTCCAGTTGTATCCAAGAGAGAGTTACAGATTTAATTCAGAACAACATGTGGATCAACATTAAAGAATCCAGAAGACAGCAAATAAACTTGATCAATGGTCTAAAAAGCATAATCTAGTATTTTTTAAAGAACTAGATCTATTTTGAGGGGATATGTAACAACAATTTTCACATATTTTCACAAGAAAGAAATCAGATTACAGCGCAGCAAGGAGGAATTAGGTTGGACATTATGAAATTTTACCTAATATTAAGGAAACTTAAACACTAAAGCCCATTGCCAAGGGGGATTGTGGAATCACTGTTAATTGACGTTTTGAAAGAGAGATGAGACAATTGTCTGGCAGGACCAATTTCACTGTAGATTAATCCATCCTAGAGGTGGGGGAAAGGGGACTGAAAGGGGATTTGGTGCTCTTTTGATATTCTCATTCTCTATGATCAAACCCGCTCCTATTTTCTCTGGTCTAAGAATTGTGGACAGCCCCCATGAAACATTCTTTAACTACATTTGGCTTGCTTTCATTCCATTCTCCTGCCTGAACCATTAATGCTCACTGTATAATGTTTTTAACACATACAAGTGCCAATTTCACCCATAGTTCTTTATCTAGGTATCTGTGCAGCCTTATCTCCAATGCTTGGCTATCAGGCGTAGTAGTATACGAATGAAGAAATCTGCCATCTCATCTGACAAACACAGTACATTATTTTCAAATGTTTCCATGGTGCCTTTCCTCCTCAGGATCTATGTAGTAAATTTTAAAGCCCTTTATCTAAATAAGTGTGGTGGATTAACCTTGGCTGACTGCCACCAGGTGCCGCTCTCTCCTTCCCCCTTCTCATCAAGGCAAGGGAAGATAAAAAGATGCCGGAGCAGGGCATGGGGATGGAAAATGGGGGTTCTAGTTAGTTCATAACACTTCATCTCTGCCACTACTTCCTCCTCACACTTTTCCCCTGCTCCAGTGTGGGGTCCTCCCATGGGATACAGTCCTTCATGAGCTGCTCCAACATGGGTCCTTCCCATGGGCTGCAGTTCTTCAAGGACTGCTCCAGAATGGGTCCTTTTCCACAAGGTACAGGAAGAAGACTGCTCCAGCATGGGTTCCACAGAGGCTGCAGTTCTTGCCAGCATGCCAACATGGTCCTGCCTGGGCATTTCTCCATGAGCTGCAGCTCCTGCCAGGAGCCTGCTCCAGCGTGGGGTCTCCACAGATTGTATCTTCTTTCAGGGCATATCCACCTGCTCTCGTGTACAGTTCCTTCAGGAGATATCCACCTGCTCCGGTGTGGGGTCCTCCATGGGCTGCAGTGTGGATATCTGCTCCAGCTTGGTCCTGGATGCCATGTGGATATCTCACCAGCGTGGTCCTCCACACACTGCAGGGGGGGCAACCTGCTTCACCATGGTCTTCTCCACAGGCTGCAGGGGAATCTCTGCTCTGGTGCCTGGAACACATCCTCCCCCTCCTTCTTCACTGACCTCAGTGTCTGCAGGCCTGTTTCTCTCATATTTCTTCCTCACTCTTCACTCACAGCTGCTGCGCAGTATTTCTTACCCTATCTTAAATGTGTTACTGCAGAGGCACCACCAGCATTGCTGATTGGCTTAGCTTTGGCGAGCACCATATCCATTTGGGAGCCAGCTGCAACTGGCTGTGTCCAACATGGGGGCAGCCCCTCACCTCTTCTCACAGAAGCCACCCCTGCAGCCTCCCCCACTACCAAAACCTTGCCACAAACCCAATGAAAAGGATAGGACTAGAAAAATCCGATGACTATATCTTACCTCTTGCTAGTTTTTTTATTATTGTTTGCTAGACGGTTAATGATTGTAAGGGACAGTCAACAACAACTGACGTCCTTGTAGAACAAGGAAACAAATGGGTTTATATATTCATCACGAGATGGCTGCTGATATCATAGTACCAGCAACCATCCTGTGTTGAATAAATAAACTAATCCGAGCCGTTAAGGGAGGTATAAGGAACAGAAGCAAATATATTGGATCCTAAACCTAGGAGTAAGGGATTACTTTAGGTATAACAGCTGTGTGTATTGTGTTCATGTCTTTTTCTTGCTTTTGTGTGATACACAAGTGATAAGGGTTGAAAAAGGCTGCCCAAGATCACTATAATCATATGTCACTCCAACATCTCCAAAGAAAGAACTTGAATCCATGTGAGTCCTCACAGCTCAGACATGCAATTGTCCAGCAAAGTTGTGAGATTCACTCCATATTGTTGGGCAAGCATGGAGAGGGGCCACAGTTCATCTTGTACAGTCAATAAATATTGCTACCACACTTCTAGCTAAGGAACATAAGACAGAAAAATCAATGACTCAAGGATTGCCTGAAAATCTGACAGCAGGATCATCACAGGGCAGATTCTGCAATACAACCCTGCAACTGGTGTACTGAGATTTTCAGGGCTACTAAAGAACACACGCTTCCAAACCATCTAGATATAATGTGCTTCGTAGGTATCTATCCCACCACCTACAAAACATCTTCTTCCCTCTGCTAGCTGTATGTTGGATATCATGTATCTTGGCTCACTCTCAAATGCTATTCATACTTACCGGACTGGAGCTGTTTCATCTTTCAGAGCATACCATTCAGCTGGTAAAGATTCGTAAAGGCACCAGAGTGCCCAGTCAAATCCATCTGCAGCCACTGAATACTGAAGAAGCTCAAAGTCATCAAAATGAATATTGTCAAATACTGGTGATATTATAACAGTGCGATCTTCTTTTAGTCGAGACAAAATAGGTTCAGCCCTACCAAAATTAACAAGCAGAGTCTATTCAGCTTGAAAAAGTGGAAATCTAATGAACAGTACTAAACTTTACCACCTGCTTCTAAAACTGAGTTAACTACTTTACTGAAGTCATTGACTTTGGCCTCTACGAAAAGTTATATGCCATTCTTGGAGCGCTAGTAACCCAAATTGCTAATGCCATGGCTCAATTCTCCCTTCCATTAGGCTGCTTCTGCATTTTGACTGTGACTAATCAAACTGACCATAAGTTCCATGCTTAACTTCCTGGGTTTATTGCCACCTGGGTCTGCTTCCTACAGGCTCTAGAGAGTCTTCGCTATCTGCATGAAGAGACAAGAAGGGAAAAGGAAAGAAAGGAGACCCTGAGGGGTGCTGTAAGCCTGGAGGTCGATCATTCACCGTCTTTCCCCTGTGCCTTGATGGCACGGCTGCTGTATGAGAAGGGTGTGACCGATCAAGAAGAGGTGTGACGATGGAAAAAGGCTCAGAGAAGACAGGCAAGGATGATGTGCTCCTAAAGCTCAGAGAAGAATGTAGGGAGTGACCACAGCTATCATAAAGGAAGCTGAACTTATCCCAACACCAAGGGCACCAGAAAGTGGCCTTTGTTGCAGATAAACAGCAGTATCGGTTGAATGGGTCAACTGGTTATGCACATGGCCTTCCTAAAATAATCAATAGAAAGTATTATCTTCCTGAGCCAGCCAGACCAACATGGGGGAAGTGTATATGTGGCTCAGCCCAACATAAAGTATAAAAATTGAACACCCAGAAAAATGAACTTCGAAGAGAGCAATGCACTTGAGTTGGCTTCAACTCATATATTCCTTCCCAGCAACTAGGGATGCCCAGCATCTTGATGGTGAGCATATAGAGAGTGGTAATGTGAATCCCATTTGTATTGTGATTCAACTGTATATTGCAATTGCTGTATTGTGCTTGTGTTGTGATTTCAGTATATTGCTGTATCACTTTTTGAAACCAAAATCCCATGTATCTTCAAATAAATATAGTATTAAAACATTAAAATCTCCTCATGTGGAATATCTAAAAGAACCTGTTCAGAGAGCATTAGACTCTGACAGAGGGAGTGTTTTTCCCAGACCCCAATTGTTGTTAGGCCTAAAAGAACTAACCTTATCTCTCCCTACATACTTTTGACAGCCCAACCCCAATGAGTCCTGAAAGCCATGACTAAAGGACTTCAGCATTACCTTTAAGACTGTAACAGCTAGAGAGTGTCAGTGTGTTATCAAGAGAGAAAGAGAGATCTGGACCACATAGAGCCATTTTGGCTTGAGAAGGGCTGGGAGAAGAACCTTGCTCCCAGAAAGTGAGACAACGTGGACAATAGTCAGCCAGTGAATTCAACATCCCAGAAGGGAGAGAATGTAAGGAGATTTCACACAAAACAGTACCATAGACATCACTACCTAACAGAATGTAAATATCCATCATCAGCCACTTGTTTTGTCTCTCGTTGCAAAAAGAGTCCTACAGAACTACAATGCACTATTAAACTAACAGGCAACAGCAAATGTCATTAGCCAAAGTTGGAATGAGAATCAAACCAATTTAAAGTCATTGGGTATTATGGCTGTCTAGGATACTTATAAAGGGCCAAAGTTGCTGGCAGTGCAACTAAATAACCTGCATCATTCTTATGTTATTTCACTGCATTAAGTCTTTTTTTCCTGGAAATGTAATAAATATACAGAGAAGGTAGGCATTTCTCTCGTCACTAAACAGCTTACTCTGTTACCTGTCTGCTTTGCTATTTATTTCAATAAATTGTATCCCTTTTCCTCTCAGAAATAAATGACTTGGTGGCTGTTAATTAACCTGTGGCAGGCCAGAAAGGAGACCCATATATGGGATGCCTGTCCCAGCTACATAGTTATACTCCTTGTCCACCTCTCTCTCCCCACTTCAGAAACCCCCCAGTCTTCATAGTCTTACCACGCCACGTTCACTTCAATATGGGCATCCAAAATTGCAACAACATCTGCAGTTGATGCCTCCCAGCCAGAAATCCTGGCTTGTGTTAGGCCTTGTCTTTTCTGATGTCTGATGATCTTCAGCAGTCCAGGATGCTCTGCATTGTAATTTTTGATGTGTGTTTCCAAAGGTCCTTTCAGATCATCTAAAACCAGCCCCCACATTTTAATAATTTAAAAAAAAAAAAAAGTTAATTAATATTAAGAAATGGAAAAGATTATGTAAATAATGGCTTTCTAGCTTCTCCGAGTTCCAGACAGAAAACTGATTTGTTCTTTGCAATAGAACAGGTAGAATTATTCAGGTACTCATGAATTCAAGAGGCTTATTTTTAAAACCAGCTTCCATTCCAGGAGTTCAATTAAGTACCTGAATTTCATTTACTTTTAGTGCTATTATATGGCTTCTAAATTGTACACAAACACATCAGTATATAGAAACTTTAGATGTGTGCCTTAACAGCAACCAATTAGCTGACTTAGTGCAGTAATTTCTGTGTGTAATTTCTACCATGTGGAAAGGAAAAGCGAAAATAAACAAGCCCTGAAAATGTTAAATGCTCGTATAAAAGCTATAGGCATGCCAACTCCCTCACTAAAGGAAAAAAAATAGTGTCCGAGAAAAGAAATAGAAAGTTGGGACCTTTTAGCATCATTTTGGAAATTCACTTAAACTCTTGCTCCACCCAAACTGACATGTTTTTCTAGCAGCCACAAAGCCTTAGAAAAATCAGAAACCAAACGCATCTCATCAGGCAAGGAGAAGAAAAAGATCACCCTTAAGATCAGGGGCATGACTGTTTCTTACAGATGACTTTACAATGCTTTGTTCAGCTCCATTTTAAGAGCAACAAGGCACCCACTGCTTCCTCTAGGAGTATTTTCCACAACCCAAGACACCACTGTTCAAGAAGTTATTTCAGATACCTACAGAGATAGTTTTCTTAGCATGCTTTTACCTTGGTACTGCGCCTGATGAGCCAGTGATAATAAATACTCTCCCACTTCAATTTTTAACCTTTTCAAATACTTGCAGAGCATCATCCTGTTCCTTATTAGCTGCCTTTTTTCAGGCTATTATTTTTCCTGTACTCAATTTACTTCTTAATTTTGAGCGGTAACCTTTTCAAATACTTGCAGAGCATCATCCTGTTCCTTATTAGCTGCCTTTTTTCAGGCTATTAAGGTGTTTGGGGTTTTTTCCTGTACTCAATTTACTTCTTAATTTTGAGCGGTCTACTCTGTGTGCACCCAAAAAGCCACCAACAGTCATTTAACACAACAGCGGCATAAATTAGCACGACTCCTGCATTCCCTGGGTCACTTACCATTTGAACTGTAATCATCTACCAGGATGATTTCTTTCAATAAATGAGAAGGTGTTCGGTTAATTATACTAGTAATTGCACGTAAGATGATTGAAAGTGCTTCATTCATAAATATAAGTACAACACTGAGTGTTGGAAGGTCTTTTGGATATGTTTTCATTTTACAGCTGTAACAGAAGAACAACAACTTTAGCACAATTTCTAAAGAAAGTCAGAGAGCAAGGCAGCTGCAAGAAGGCAGAATTCAGATGTTGGGCTTAGAACATATAGTGAAAATCAGCATTAAGAGCGAAAAAAAAGGAATTCCCAAATCCAAATTTCATTATTCATTTGAGTTGCATTATGTATGTATATAAACCATTTGGGTAAAGTTAAGATTTCTCTTAAGACAATAAGAAAGAACAATTACTGTTTTTCAATCCAAAATGCTTATAAAATATTGAAACTAAAGAATACAGTTGACTCAGACAGGGATGATCAGCTTGCAAGGGAGTGGACATGTGAGTGAAATTTGGCTTTTTGCATTTACAGAAGGACAATAGCCAAACCTGACAACAGACAAAAGCAAATTAGACAATAATCCCTTTGTATGTGCAATAGAGAAGAACAAGGTAGGTCTAGCTATACTTAACTGACATGGAAGAAGGATTCCCTTGGACAAGGGATCTCTTTAAAAATTCTTGAAAGAGCTTCAAAAATCCTTCTTACAGAGTAAACCAGGCCTTGTGGAACTCCATGGTACCCCAGAATAAGTTGTTTCCAGTACTGAAACAAACTTGTTTTGTGCTAGCTTGAATACTTCCGGACTTCCTGCTTACTGTCAAAAGATTTTTTAATTTTTTTTTTTTAAGTATATATTTCAGATATTTGTCAGCTCTGCTAATTAACATCCTGGCCACCGGGCAGATGGCGAGGACTGGGTGATCTTCATAGTACTAAGCACTAACTCCCTCTAGAGCAGACAAGAAAGCATAGCTGGATTCTCAGGCTGATCATTCCCTCCCTTTAGAAACACGCTCATGAAAGCAATACTCAGACTGCATAAGCTGTGTGGCCACATAATGCAACTCTCTGAGACCCAGGCTCGTGCTCCAAGTAGACCTCTACAGTGGCAATTGTGCACGAATGGATTGTATTTTTGTTGGAATTTCTCCATTAGCTTTATTATCCATTAGCACAAGAGCCTGAGTGGATATCTGCAAAAGGTGATCTCTGCAAATACGTCTTCACAGTGAAGCAGAAGAGCACCAGGCACTGCAGCCATTCTTTGTGACCACACAGACTAATCGTGCACTTGCTCTGGCCACCTCTGTAGTGGCAGCTGCAGACAGTTCTCCCCAAAATGATTCCCCAGCAGAGTGGGGATCGTTCAGCTCAGGGCTGCCCCAGGAGGATCTGTGGCTGGCTCACCACCTTGTGCCCTCACACAACTCCACACCCTCTGCCTGAGCACCCCAAGACACGCTGCACAGAAAGCCCCCTGAAACTCACTCTGGAAGCTACTACACAGCCCTCACACTACTTCAGACACTAGGAACTGAGAAACGCATGCAAACCGTCATTATGTGCCAGAGTCAAGGCTTGATCCAAGACGCAGAGGACACCCACAGACAAGGGCAACATATTACTGTCTGCCCTAGATGGAACCAGCTCCATCCAAGCAGTACGATGAGGACCCAGTTGCGTAACCTGCTCTTTGTATCTTCCAGAGGGCTGCCAGTAAAAAACCTCCCCTTTTCCCAAGTATGACATTGTTAATTCATGCCCAGTTCGCAATCCACTCTGCCCCCCACATCCGTTTCTGGTACAAGCGACCATAGCTACAAAGGTGTAGGCTTGCAGTATATCACCTGTGACCTTCTTCCACGTTTACACCAGTTAATTCCTGTAAAGCTTACTATTATCTTTCGCAATAAATTGTGTAACTTATCTTACTATGCAGAAAAAAATGTGTTGGCTTTTTTAACAGATACTTGTTCCTAATAAGGATTTTAATGGTTACTTACGTCAGCTCCCATAGTACCACTGGTCTGCTTAAAAAATATTATTTATTGGCTTCAAGAACCAACTAATTCCTGGAAAAATCCCTTAAGCTTTCTCTTATGAAGTACTTTTTGATATCTTGAGAGGGAAACAGAGAGAGAACGTAAGGCTATGAAGAAACTCACAAGGTCACCAGTCCATTATGGCTATGTCTACAATACTAAAGATAAGAATGCCAGGGATTCAGCTCAAGTGCTGAATCTTCCCTCACCCTTCATGGGACTCACTGGCCAATAATTAGTTCCAGCCACCTGTTTGATTTCTAATCATCTTTTAATAAGCAGTATAGGTATTCCCCACTTACGGTCTGCAACATAGCTAAGAAAAACAAGCGTTTTGTTAAAAAGGACAGAATTTTACAATGTAGATTACTTCTTCACTGATTATATTTTGGGGGTTTTCCAAAGGTGGGTGGGAGAGGGCAGTTAAAAAACACCACTTTGGATATCTCAGCATATAAGAGGCTTACATAAGACAATGTAAGAGAGAAGAGAAAGCATGCTTCAGATGTCCTGGGCTCTGGGGCTTAAATAGAATGTAAACAGACCAGAAGGTCTCATATCTTCTGAATACTATGGTTAATTTTTCCCCTTTTTACTGACAGTTAGAAGTCCTGTATTAATTGTAATGTTAACATGATATTCTTTTTCCTAAGTGTCTTCTCTACACTGTGACTTCTTTTCACAGTCTTTGGAGTATTACAAGTCTGAGCAAGATCTGGAAGAAAATTATAGGAAAAAAAACCCTAAACAAACAGAGCACAAATTGAGATCTGTTAGTAGATTATTTTAACTTAGTACTTTGGATCCCTTTCCCTTTAATTTCATGTCTCATTGTGAACGTAGAGAGGCCTTATACTGCACCTGGGAGATCTGGTGTCTCTGATAGGTCGATCCAGAGGTAGACGATCACTGAGATAAACATTATACCCATAACTTAAGAACAGATTCTGTGCAATAGTTTGCTCCTCTTCCCTTAAATCTGCACCCCACCGTTTGAACAAAATTGAGTCCGGGTACAGCAAACGGTGTACAATTTTCTTTTCCTCCTTCGCATTATCAGCTTTGCATACTTCAGTCTTGGAGTTATCTTGCAGCTTCAGATCATGCTCTATTTGTTTTATATTTTCACGGAATGCCTCCACTGATTTTGCTGATTGAAAATAAAAAGGATTGATTATAACAGCAATAAAGAACACTCTCCATCATCATAACTGAGCCAAATTCTCCTTATAACACTGCAGGTCAAGAGATCCGTGAAGTTACAGCTAAACCGGTATTCACATGAGAGTAGCATCAGACCCTCCTTTCTACATGAGAAGAGTTTTTAAACATCACATTTCACAATACCCTGTGTCAGATTCTGCTCGCAATTGCACGAGCGCAGAGCAAGGGACGCTGCGCTGGCATCAGTGGGGAAATCTGGGAGTAGAGGCAACACACAAATTGTTAAATTGGGCCCAAATAATTTCCATGATGTTATGCTTGACTTACATTAATGTATTAAGAATCCATAACATGATTCCCATCTAAGTCAGGTTATTGATACCATATTAATCTTGAAGGTAAATACAGTAAATGAGCCCTTTGCCCTCCCCTTTAATAAGCTTACTGGAATCTTTTGACTTCCGCTTAGAAAAATTTGGAGTCCAAAGGAACTAAAGAGGTGGTTTCTTCAGCTCTTAGTCAGATTGCTCTGTTGTGCCCACTTCCCAACAGTTCAACCTACAACAGATACCTGAAAACAAGTCAAAATTCACAAACATTCCTGTAAGAAAGAAAAGGCCCTTTTTAAATTAATATTGCTCATATACAAGCACATCTGCTGGGATGTTGTTGGCCTTTCACTATCGTGGGATGAGAGAGAAGCAGTTCTGCCAGCAGATTTCAGTTAATGCTGCTTGGAAACACAGTCAAATCGAACAGGTGATGCAGAGTTCATCAGTCTTTTCCCCACAGTAACTCTGTTGTGTCTATGCTCAAGGTACACAAAGGAAAAAGAATGAGTGATTCACAGTTCCCCTTATTGCTCACCTACACGGCAGAGGCTGAGGAAATGGGGCATTTCCAGATTCTCTCAAAAATAGCTTTTTATGGCAAACAAAATAGTGACAGGAATAATAGCTGCCTGAGATGAGTATGCTGGTACAACCACCACCTTAAAATTGCTTAACACTTCTAAAAGAGGTCAGGGCCAGGAACTGTCTAATATGCAAAAAAACACCATGATGACTGTGAAAGACTTTATTGTTTTGTGTGTAAGTAGAGAAGCTATCAAATCTTTTTCAAGATTACAAGGGAAAAAAAAAAAAAAACAACCCAACACAATCAAAAGTGTCAGGGGAAACTCAAACAAACATTATTGCTGCTATCTATTATTCTATCCTTCAGAAAATCTAGGTAGTAATCCTCAAAAAGTTAAGCAGTATGGCATTTTACTTACAGAGGTTATGAATGTTCCAGTCCAAATGGTCCAGTCTCTGAAGGATGTTATTTTCTTGGTTCAGAGATCGAGGATTAATGTCCAAGGAATGAAGTCTTCCCTTTCTTTGATCATGCAGTAAGTGCAGCAGATAACACACAAAAGCTGTGTTTATGATTAACAGTGCAACTTTATGCGGTCTCTTCCAGGGTGCCATTGTAAGCTTAAAGAAACTCAGTGTTCTGCTGCTGGTTGGAGTTTGTCTGTGGTTCTGGGTCTGCACTGAGTCTTCTTTCCAAATGCACGGTTTCAAATTGCCTTTACTTGACTGAGAGCTGACTGTTCAGATGAAGAAATTAACAGAATCTAATGAGTCATAGAACTGATGATGATAAGGTCTAGCTTACAGGTGTTTTCACTTGCATGCTTACATGTATCTATACAAGTTATCAATGTCAGAGTAAGCATGCAGCTCTCACTGGCTTGTGTGATGAGTCATGTGAACCGAGTGAGCGCCGGGGGTGATGCTGTAGGAAGTGCAGGGCTGTTGGGTAAGATGTCAGAAAGCCTGTCATACAACAAAGCACATGTACACATGAAGACATTTGGAATAAACCGCAAGCCAATTCTGTGTTTCCTGTTCATTAGCAGCTGGGGAATTGTGAATCTAATTAAATAAAAATGTGAAAATACATTAAAATGGATTTTGCACCAGTTTTTTGAGCTGGCTGGAAGCAATTGTGACTGGTACAGGGCACTTTACAGCCCTCTCCCACACAGGCCATTCCTGCAGCTCACCGCTACTAAAACCCTGCCAGTTATGCCTCGTACACGTATGTGAATTCGAAGTAGCACTCCCAACAATAACTAGCATGTGGAGCTTTCCTTTCCCTAAAAATACCAAGCTGCTTCATGCTTCCCAGCATTGCTGTCCCAGTGTGGGTCACCTGCTGGCCACAGTCGTGGCATGTGTCGCCCATGGGCCACAGTCCCTTCAGAAGTGTCTCCTTCCAAGAGTGCGTCTGCAGGCCCCTCAGCAGTCCTCTCTGGGTGTCTCCTGCCTTAAGGGCTGACGCTCTTTCTTCTGTATATCAGTTCATGGCCTCTTCCACCACAGGGCAGCCCTGCAGCCCCTGCTACAGAAACCCTGACAGTTATGCCAGGTAGATATTGCTGTAAACATTACTTCAAATTCACATCACTAGTGTATAATCGGTTTTTTTTTTTCCCTTCTGTAAAAAACATCAAACTTTAGACCAATTCATGTGAAAAGTGAAGAACCAAGACTACTGAAGAACAAATCAGTCATGTATGCCAAGATCCCTCTACTATGTTAAATGCTGATGCAAAAAAAAAAAAAAGGACGGGGGGGGAGGGATAAAAAAAAGACCGAGATCCTGCCTCAAGCAATAAAGGGCAGGATAGATGGATCTATGGATCTCCTTGCTATTCACCTGCATTTCTTTGCCCTCGCAGGTATTCCCAAGACCTGGGTATTGCAAATGCTCCTACGCAGTGTGACTATTCACCTGGCAAGCCCACCTGTACAGAATCACAGAGTGGTTGAGGTTGGAAGGGACCTCTGGAGGTCATCTGGTCCAACCCCTCTGCCCAGGCAGGGCCACCTAGAGCTGGTTGCCCAGGACCGTGTCCAGTCGGCTTTTGACTATTGCCAAGGATGGAGACTACACCACCTCTCTGGGCAACCTGGGCCAGTGAACAGTCACCCTCACAGTAAGTGTTTCCTGAAGTTCAGAGGCTGTCCGAGTTGCGGGTGGGTTACTTCCTAGGCGTATGGGACAAACTGTGTGATACTAGGAAGAGCATTTGGGGATTGTACAAGACTTATGGGATTCTTAGGAAAGGAACGAAAGGCAAGCAAAAAGAAGGGAACAAGGTGGTTTGGGGAGGAACAAACGTGGAAGAATGATTGGCTGGTCAGTATGCTTGTCTGGCCGTGCCCTGCACCTGATCTGTCCTGTCTTCTTACTAAACTCCATTTCTAAGCATATTGCTGGGTGAGGGACACTCTGTTCTGTATGCATTTGTGTGCCTGGAGGTCTAAGCGCCAGCAACTGGAGTTGACAGGTCAGAGGGACCATGTGCCTGTGGTGCCAGCAACTGGACTGAACAGAGTGAGCGAAATCAAGTCTTGGCAATTGAACGGGTGACCTGGAGTTTATCACAAACTGATAGCTAAATCTCTCTTTCCTATCCAAAACCTACTTAAGGCTATAAAGCATAAGAGCGTACATATGAGAAACAGGCAAGGATTATGCCGGCAAAATTGGAGAAAGACAAACACCTTTTGTTTTCATTTTCACTCAGTTCTGTCACTATACCAAGTTACTGCTCTGTTTAACACTTTCCTGGAACGCAACCCTGTACTTTGCTCAGGATGGCCTCAGTCTTCGGAACCTCACCAAATGCAGTAGGAGCCTCAGCTTTATTTTAAGTGACAGCAATATCTGTTTGAGGTGGAGTTAGAATCATACAATCATTAAGGTTGGAA